TTTGACAGTTTGTCGTGAAGACTTCTGGTGAAGTGAACTCTCAAAGTGCGTTCACGCCAGGTTTAAATTACTGTAATTACAAGATTTCAACTTGTAAAAAGCGTTCACGTCCTCGTAGAGCATGTAATTACAGCTTGTAAGATTTACTTGTATCACGTGACTGCTGTACCACCTGACCGATACAGATTAATTTAGGTGTTGATAGTGGTGCCACAGAAATGGATTATTCCCAGTCCAAGGATGTGAACAGCTCCGAATAGAACGTCACGTGTTGTCATTTTGGGCCCTATCATACACCCGGCGTAATGCAGCGCTAGAGGCAACGCAAGTGTCTTTTGCTAGTTTCAGCCCGACGCAGTTATCATTTTCACGTCCTGCACCACCTTGTTTAAATAGCAAATGCATATGCGCCCATGGGCGTGCTGGTCTGATAAAGAGGGGTGTTCAGGCGCATTGATGACACGTTGCTATTTTGAGGCAACTGAAATAGACTGCGCCATTGACCAACAAAAACCTGGTCTAAAGTCAATGGCGCAGTATTTTTTTGTAATATGTAGTATTTTTCATTAGTAATATGCGCCTATAGGTGGGTCCATAACGCTCATACACTCTGTTTATTACACACACACACAGGGACGTGCAGCACACAAACATGCCAAATATGAAAAATAAAAGGATTACAATGTAAAAGATTGTTATTGTGTGTACATAAAGATATGGTGGAATCCGGCTTGTCCCGTAGATGGTCTGCTTGCGCGCTTTAACCTCGCGCACGAGCAGATCCGTTTGCTCTATGGAGAAGCGTTCAGTTTTTCTGCTTGCAAATTCCGCCATGTAAATAGCAATCCGCCATGGTGCAAGCACATCTAGCTTTTAAAGGGAATGGAAGATGAGACTCTGATTGTTTTATTGGACGTTACGCGCCCAAAACACACCCATTACTCATTAAGAGAATAGGGACAACCCTTTTAGACCATGCGCTGGGCGCGCCAACCATTTCTCCCGCTGTTAAACTAGCAAAAGTGGATTCAACAAGCCCTAAGTGCACTTGTGCTTTAGACCATGCGCTTAGATTGTTAAAATAGGGCCCTACGAGACTACGGTAATTAGGACATGGTGTGAACGCAGCATCAGAGCAGCTCTGGAGACAAAGTTCATGTGTTCACGTCCTCATAAAGTGAGACGGCAGATCCTGGAAACACCACGAGCCTCAAGGATGCTTCATTATGTGTAGTTGATGAAACCTCATCACACATTCACACAGAGACACGTACAGAGCTTTGATAATGAACAAAGGGGGAAAATGGGAATGAAAAGACGTTTAGTTGCAGACTAAAGACAAGTGTTTGCAATGCTTGCGAATCCTCTGTGTTTTTAAGATGGGGATAATTGTGGAGGAGGGGTCTTTAGGGGGTGTGGAAAGTACTGGGTAAATATTATCTCTGCAGCGATCCAGCTCTCCACCTCCAACCACACACACACACACACGCTACTGCAGCTCTAAATCCCTCAGACTGCCAGTCTAAGCACTCTGCGCGCTCACACACACAAACATTAAAGTGCACTCCGATGCTTTGCCTGTTTTTCTGGCTTTCATCCTCCCCGAAAAGCGCATGTGTGCTGCGCAGGCCTACTGTTTATGTGGTTTAGGGCCCAAATGAAGTCACACATGACCTGAAACAGTAGTTAAACACACACTGCAGACACACTGTGTACTTTTCTGTTCTTTCTGGACTTTCGTTGACGTCCCTCTCACTTGCTGTAGCTCAACTAAATCCATTTCCTGTCCATTTAAGGCTGTGTTCCCAGCCGCTACGATCTCTACCGAGGGCTTAAAAGGAGATGCTATCAATTTATGGGTGTACATAAAATCATGAGTACTGCTTAATGTTTATTGTAGCTGTTTTAGATTAAAACAGGAAAAGATTGAGGGGCAAATTAACTAAACGCTGTGCCACTTTTGCACGCAGCATTTCAGCAATCTAGTTGAAAGTCGCTAAGCTATAATACTGCGGTGCCAAGAGTATTTGATTTAAGCCAAATCATGTTACACATGACTCCTTCTAAGTATACAGCGGTATTTTTTTTAAGTGCTCAAAAGTGACAGTAAAACATTTGTAATGTTACAAAAGATTTTCATTTCAAATAAATGCTGTTCTTTTCAACTTTCTATTCTTTAAAGAATCTTGATTAATTCTTGACATCACAGGAATAAATAACATTTTGAATACATTTAAATAAAAAACAGCATTTTTGCCAGCCAGCACCAGCATTTTTGATCATTTTCACAAAACTTTCATGGCTACCAGAATATTTTGTTGTATGAATATCTGAATATGCAATAGGCCAGAATTAGGGTTTCATAAAAAATGCAACATTTTGAGCAAAAAGAGGAGAAAATCGCATTTTTGACAAGAACTACATCCAGATCGGATTCATGAACAATGATCAAAACATAGATGGAGTAGATCGAGTCCATCAACACCCCCAAAGCTTCACAGTCCTATACCTCATCCTGGGTAGACATTTCATTCGGTAACAATAGGCAGTTTCGATTTATATGCTGCTTAATGTTGATGATCGCATTATTTTACATATCTGCTTACATATGCTATCACTTGTTTCTGCTTTTTTTTTTTGATCAGGATATTCTGTACTCAGAAGATGCGTAGTAGCGCCCCCTACCGTATAACAGTGAAAACACGGTAAGACGGAAAATTACGTCAATGGTGGGGGAAAGAGTAAAAAAAAAATCTTAATAGTTTTTTTTTTTTCTGTATTTTTTTACTCAAATAAATATAGCATTGATGAGCATAAGACACTTCTTTAAAAATATTTTTGAAAAATTGTCTGACCATGAAAATCGACTTGCTCATTTACAAAATACAGAGCTACCTGGCACAACTGACTGTGATATTATGTTAAATTGTTATGTTTTATTTTTGAGTACATTTTCTATTGATCTTTAAAGAGGTAATTAATCAAATGATGGAGAAGAGCATTATGACAGGGCATCCATCCAGACACGCAGCGTAGACTAGTGCACTTTCTGCATTTTAAAGAGCCGATTCAGGGGCCTGGACTACAGTAATGAAGGGAAGTTTTACAGTCTCAGCATAGTATGCCACATCACGCTAGTCCTCCACTACCTTTTATTCAGGACTGGCATGCAAAAAGCATACAGATTGAAATCAGTGCTAAATTGTAATCTCTTAGACAGGTTTTCATTCCATATTGCTGTAAAAACATCTACAAATGACTAAAACAGGACAGATTTACTTGAGAAACAAAATTGTGAAAATAAGCTTCCAGAGCGTTTTCAGTCTGACAGCCAAAATTATTTTTATAACCCCACTGGCAAATAGATTTTCTCCTACTTTAAGCATAGACCTCATTAAATGTTGTCAGATGTATGCTTAATTAAAACATATATATCCTCCTGAGACCCAGAAAAAAAAAGTTTTTTGAATTTAGTTTTTTTCCATGTCATCACACTGTTTAGAGCACAATAAACAAATGGTAAAAAAACACATATATAAAATAATATTTTATTCATACGTTATGCTATGTCCTCTGTAGTGGACGCCAGGACTAAGTTGTTTAAAAAATAAAATGACATGAAATTATATGTATAGGCAAAAACAATGGGATTTTTTTTTCAATCACCAATACATTTTGGGGTTTCAGGATTTTTTCAACCAAAATTTGTATAAAGATTATTCTCAACTATGTTATGAAAGAAATAATGGAATGAATTGATACACCATTTTAGTTTTTGCAATATGTGGGTAAAATGGCCATAAGTTAATATTCCCATTCAATGCAATGTATCTATACACTGTATCTAATTTGCACATTAATGTGTTCTGGGAGCAACATTTAATGAAAGAATAAAGGGTAATAATTGGAGTAATAATTGGCAACATTTTAATAATAATATCTAACATTTCATAGGAATATTGATGTATAATTTATTTCCATATTCACTTGTTGTGTCTCCCAGAATGCCTGATAAACATGATTTTAGTCCTGATGTCCTCTACAGTGGACACGTTTGAAATCAATGCCCTGTTCTGTAACAGAAAGTTTTTTTTTTTTTTAAACCCCTTAACATTTTCCTGAGATGTTGTTTTATGAAATACAATTTGAAAAGTAGTCCAATTTATATTATAATTACACTATATTATCATATTTCCATAAGAATGCTACATTTGATCACTAAATTAATGTCAGACATTTTTAAAGGCCAAGGAGAAGTTGTTTTCATGGTGAAACCTCCAAACATTTGGTATCTCTGAAAAGTCCTGAATGTGCTCTTTACAGGACAGCCAGGTTGTGTCATGTGACATGTATGATGTCAGAGAAATTCACTAAAATATAATGTCCACTACAGTGGACAAAAGTCTATTCTTGGGTCCCAGGAGGATATATTTCGCCAATGAGATAAGAAAAATACCCATAATTCAAATGATATTATCTGAGAACAAATCTTGAAAAAAAAATATGCAATTTTGCTTCTTAAGTAAATGCATTTTTATGAATGCTTAGAAGTTTTTCCAGGAATAGACAAAAATACTGATAAAGAAAAATATTTTTTTTCTAATAAGCTCTCTCACCAGGCACAATTCATTCTCATTGAATTCCCTCCAGAGGAAGAGTAAGAGAAAAAGAGAAGTAGAGAGCCGCGAAATAGAGAACAGTGTGAGAAAGGGAGAACAGGCACAAATGAAGCGAGTGCAAATGAATGGGGATGTAAGCTCTTTACAATAAAAGCCTATAAAACCAGGCAGTAATGTGATATCTCAGTAAATTCAAAGCAGAGATCACACCTCTTATCTCAAATCTGCATAGAGAATGAAGGGAGGGGTCGACTGAAGAAAAGAAGAAAGAGACGGACAAATAAAGAAAGTGCCATAAAAATACTGTGAGAACACTCATTTGCTGGGCAGTCACCGCTGGGAGGAATCGCTCACAGTTTTGTTTGGTCATTAGATACTCACCATTATATTTAACTGTCTTGCGTGGGACGGGGTTCCAGTTGACGCAAATCCCCTTTTCAAACCCGATCACGAACATCACGAGAAGAACTTTCGCACACCCCATTTCTCCGCTCCCACTTCTTTTATTCTGCTCCACGGAATGCAGGTTCAGATTCTGAAGCGAGGGTTCTGATTGGACGACGAGGTGTGGAGGCTCCAGATGCGCACAACGGCTCCTGTCAGGGGAGATAAAGAAAACAAACAAAAAACATAAACAAAAGTGATTACGAGACGAACGCCAACATCCCTAGAGCCTTCTTGTCGCTATCCCAATAGAGCTGGAACTGTTTATGGAGTGAGAAAACACAGTCAGGACCATTTTAATGACAGATTTTACACTCTTTCAGAAGGTACAATGATAAATGCATCTTGGCAGACCAGCAGCCAAATTGAGGATGCTTGTCAGAGCAAGGCTGCATCAACACAACTCACAATCGTGTCCCGAAGAACATGTCGCACATTTAAGAAGGCCTGTTTTTGACAGCCACGGACAAACGAGACGTGCGCTTGTAATTATAATTGGAGTCAGCGTTCTCCTGAATGCATTATGATGATGCCCGAAGCAAGGTTTCAAGGGAAAGAGTGGGGAAAAAAAAGGCCTGAGCGGTCCAGTCTGTTCAGCAATAGCCGTTTTCACACGTTTGCTCTAATCATCAACTCACACCTGTTTCTCTCCATTAAAAAGGGAAATTAGGGCCTTGATAATATTTGCTGATTTGAGAGCAAACCCATTGACTTTTAAATGTGCGTCAAATGTCAAATACTGTTTAGCGGTGAAGATAACAATGTAAAGCTCTCTCTCTCTCTGCCTGCACCGTGTTTTATCATTCAGTCTGAAAAGGTTGTGTGAATTTAAATGTGCGCAACGATAAGAAAGTGTGGAGGGGTGGCCTCTTGCCATCATTGGATTGAGATGTGGACCTGTGCGGTAGCAATCTCACGGCCATTGATTTCTGTTTTTCTTTTTTCATTAGCATGAAAGAGAGAGAGAGCCAGATAAGAGAAGTCAGAGATGGTGGCGATTCACTCCAAATGAGTTGTCCGTTATAGAGGGGTTGCAATATAGCAATTCGATGACTCACATCTCCACTTGCACGCCATTTTTTTTATTGGATCGATGCGCCATTGCTTATATCTGTGTTATATCTGGAATGCGTCAGACTGTTGTGACAGGTGGTGTCTAGTTCTACTCGACTTTTAAAAACAGGTGATTGTGTTCTCTCTGCACCTTTTCATGCACGGCAGTTCCAAACTAAATATGCTACGTTGCTCTCTCCCTGCATATATAATATATATATAAAAAAGATTTATAAACTCTGTATGTTTTTAAAATTACTATTCATTTTAAAAATGTTTTATTATATAATAAAAAAATATATAGCTCTATTTTTTTCTATACATACTACATATTATTATCTCTATATATATTATTTAGTATATTATATATTTATAAATTATTTAAACTATAAATTCTACACTTTATATCTTTGAATAATATTACTGCATTATATACTGCTTAAAAGAGATAATAAAAGATAGATAGAATTTAATTAAATTAGACCTTGTAAATAAGCCTTGTGCTAAATCTCTGGAAAACAACCATTTCAACCAGCAAGAACAGAGAGCAAATCTCATTTGTCATGTGCGAATAAGGAGGAACATTGCTGTTGGTGGACCAAATTACAAATATAAAAAGCTATATTAGTTTTTATATATATATATATATATATATATATATAGGCCTATTATATATAATGTAAAGATATTTGTTAGGTATGTTTTAATATTAATTCTGTAAAAATGACATATTTACAGCATATTTTAAAACTGTATATGGAAAGAACAAGGAATTTCAAAACAATTACAGTTTACAGTTACACAAATTCCAAAAGAATAAAGTAATAATTCAATATTACATACAAAAAAACAAGTCATGTAATAAACATTGTCCTTCTGCCAAAGGATGTGATCTGTGTGAAGATGGACGTATATTCAAAGAGCGTGTTTTGAAATGAACTCCTCCCTAAAGAAAACAAACATCCGCCGTTTTTTCATGCACGTCCGGAAAAAGGTCAAAGGTTGAGTGATGACCAGCTTTGTGGCTCTAAAGAGTTTCCCATCTCCTTCCAATCTGCTCTTGTCTTCCTGTCAATAATAAGCTCTTCTCTAGAACCAACAGCCAATCCCCATGTTCATCATCTAAACTAAAATAAGACCCTTTGAACTATGACCTACTGACCCCTAAGAGACAGCAGATGTCAAGGCAACAGCATGATGGTGGACTGTGACCATACGGATGCACAAGAGGAAACAACTCCACCCCTCAACATAAACACATCTTTCCAGTGTCTCACTCAAGAGCTTTCCTCCTTCCTTCCATCCCTCGTTCCCCAATCATCCCTCGTTTAATGAAACTTAAACAAAAGCCCTTCGCATGTCAGTGGCCGGTAATTTCCCAACATCCTGCCACTATCTCTACACCATGTCAACGATTGCAGAAACTGACCACTCAACACCAGCTGCTCAACAAATCCTCAAAAAAGCACCTACGTCAAACCCAAACTCTCTTGAAATGTACACCGCATAAACAGAATGATCAGAATAAAAGAAATCTGCCTTCAGCATATGATCTATTTATTTCGGTATAAGATCAGATGGCACTAGTCAAAACAGGGCGGCATGCTTTCATCCCCTAGAGTAACAGGCAGGGTTCTTTTATAGCCACAGATGCAGGGCAGTAGGTGGTTAGAGGAGCCACCAGCCCTCTCAAGGTCTACTGGCCCTTAAGTCTTGTTTATGCTTGACGCATTCAGTCTGGCGTGAACCACCGCAGACACGTACATCTCAATGGCACTGAGAGCTGTTTACTCTATATATTTTCCATTGGATTATTTTCCAAAACGACAGGCAACCATGAAGTGGAAATATCAGGTAAACCAGCAGTAAGTGTCAGTAAGCAGTAGTAGTTTACAGTATATTTATCCTACTCAAGTAAAGGTAGTTGGTCATATACAAGAAGCAGACAAAACAACAACGCACCTAAGTTTATATTTAAGTCTTAAGATGTCGACTTCTAGATTTAAAATTATTTAATGAAATCAATTTACTTTTAAAGGCATGTTACTGCATTGAAAAAAAATGGGGTAGGGTTTAATTTGAAACAATTTTCACTCCAAAAAATTAAAAACATCCATCCATCCATCCATCCATCCATCCATCCATCCATCCATCAATCAATCAATCAATCAATCAATCAATCAATCAATCAATCAATCCATCCATCCATCCATCCATCCATCCATCCATCCATGGATCTAATCTAAGTCTATAAACCTTTAAGGCTTTTTGTTACAAGTCTTTATCAAGGCATTATATAAAGTTGGTCTTGTCAAACTTTGCTTTTTAGTTACAATTATGAACACTCTAATTTATTTACATTTTTCTTCCTTACATTCGAATTGAAATTTAAATGCATTCTCCATTCAATTCTGAATGGCACACAACCCTGAATGAAACACCTCTATTAAATGAACTTCCATTTACTGCCTGCTTTCCGCAGGTGATAATAGCACAATGTTAACTGCGCCAAGCAAAGAGATTTGTGAATTAGGCACAATCTATAATAAGCCTGATTTACATAGAAAGGAGGTGTGTTTTGCACTGAAAAGAATGACAATGATTTAATTTGAATAACACGGCACAGCAGCTGCATTCCACCTGGTTAAACTGTTTTGCGTTTGTGAAATAAATGAGGCATTTTGCACTGAAATACTGCCGACGAAAGTGGCGTGATGGTTTAGTGAACTCAGCCATCAGAGTTTCAGAAAGAGTCTCAGGACTTCAGAGTGACTCTGAACTGAAGGCTGCAGTCTTGTGCTGATGAAAGTGTTGAGCTGAAGGTTTAATGCTGTTTGCTCTTTGTTTATGCCTTTGTGACAGCGCCTGCAGCTGGCATGCATGTATTATGTATTTTTTTTTTGTAGAAGAAAGTGTGAATGTTGTTGTGGTCGGACTGCATGTGTGCTGTAAGTGTGACTGATGATGTTAGATGTGGGAGTGTGTGAAAGAGTGGGAGGCAGACAGCTTGTGTGTGTGTTGAATGATTGTGTGTGTCTGTTCTATGACATCAACAGGCAGTGTGATGTTTCATTAGTGAATGAGAATAGATGAAAGTCTTAATAATCAAATGGAGTTTGATCAGCTGCAGGCGCGTCCCACTTCCTATTCCACAGGAAAACCTTCCTGTCACGGGATCCCCCCTCCCAGTGGCCCTTGGCCCATTGAGCACGATCAAGGTCACCTTTCAATCTGGAAAAAAAAAAACAGTTTAATCCACTTAATTATCAACCCAAGAGTTAAAAAGAAAAACAGAAAGAAAGAGTGTTAAGATGCCCTTTGGGATCATCTGTTCCCTCTTTTTTTCTCACTTTGTGTCTACTGTTATGTAGATCTAACCTTTTGTTTTCATTTATGGGTGTTCCTTTAACTTTTATGTCCCAAGGGTTAATTTTCATGAAAGTTTTTCATAAAGTGAAATCTAATTTCCATAACCACTATTTCCAGCACATAATGCTAATAAACAATAAATGTAATCTGTGGTGGAAATGAGAATGAAAAAATGATAAAAATGGCATAATTCTTATGTATGTGTATACTTCCTAGGACATTGTTAGTAGAACATTTTTATAAAATAATTCAAGTATAAAAGTGTTTAAGAGAGTGTCTATTCAAAAGTCTGCAGTGACAAAAGTGCCTATAGTTGCAAAAACACTAATTTCCTACCAAACCAGATGTATGTTATTTTCAATAGATAGAGCATATACCTTTTTTAGTGCCACTCACTGGACATTTCACTTCGAAAGTCTTGCTAAATGTGTGGTGCAAGATGCAATGTAATGTAATTTAGCAGAAAAGTCGCCACAGGCAAGTTTTTCCAATGAGCCTGGGTTGGTAAAACCACATCTCTTCCCCCCTCTCCCTCTTTCATCATCTCTCTATAAACCTTTCTCTCTGAATGTAGTCCATCTCTCTCTGACCTTGCTCTGTCAGTTACTCTAATGATGAGTTTTAAGCACAAACTGATGAGTGAGTGTGTGTTTGGTTGGTCATGTGTTTGAGAGAGACTCTCACGTGTTTCCATGCCTCCCCCATGCCCTCAGGAGCAGGGGATGCTGGG